CTGTAAAATCAGTGACAATTGTTCTTTTTCTATTTTAAGTTGTGCATCAGCATTATAAATAATGTATATACTATTTACAGGACAACTTGTGCTGGTTGTCACCGAAGTGACAAACTTTGCTAGAAGGTGCAAGTTTCAGGTAAACCTGTAGAAAACTGTCTGAATCAATGCAAGCTATAGACAGGCAAAGTATCTTTTAAAAATATGGCTGGCTTTCCCAGATGTTTACTTAATAATGAAGATACAGTGAATCAATAGGTAGCAGTAACTACTTGGAAAATACTTTACTTGGTGTGTGTGCCCCCTCTGGGGGAATTTGCTCTAGCAGAGTTTTATAGTTCATTGAGGCATTAAATAATAGCACTTACAAAATCTGTATATTGACTTTATCTGCTTTCCAGATAGTAATCTTACTCTTCAGACAAGACTCTAAAAATTGTTTCAGATTTACATTACAGACTTGTGATTACTTGTAATTTGGAAGCATACATCTTTGAGGGATTGCCTGCTGGGAAAGTTGCCTCAGGCAGCACTGGAAAAAACATGAGCAGATATAGGAGAATCCAGAAAAGTAGTTTGGAACTGCTAAATGGTGGGGCATCTGTCAGAGGAATTCTTGTGTTTACACAGCCTTTTGTGCATTCCTCCTGTAAGATATTGCTTGAGAATTAGGAACAATGAAGTGACTTCAGCACTGTGTCAGTGAAAGTAACTGTCACTCAATGACCTCTCAGTCTCCAGTGCAAAATGTTCTGTTGTGGGAGAGACTCTTGGTCCACAGCTCACTGGCTAAATACCACATTTATTTGCAAAGACAGCTAATGGAAGCGCTGGTCTTGCAAACACAGTTCTGCAATTAAATGGGGCAGGCTACTCTGAGGATATGGGAATGAGTTGGACTTTCTGTTGTCAAGTTTAGCCATGTTTTAAAAGGAATGACAAAGAACCGTTGTTGAAACATTGCAACAAATACAATGCTATTTTTGAGATGGTGAATATCCAGCGTACTAGAACTATAATAAGTAACCTACTTGTTGGATTTCATCATTGCCATAAATGGCAACTAGGCTAACTGATTCAAAGAGATTTAAGTGCAATTGTATTGTTTACTCCAGGGAAATGTGGGGTAGCGCTGCTGCTTGAACTCCTGACCTGCTAATAGAAGTTAGACCACTTCTTTCTGCATTTAGAAGTGTTTACTGGCAACACAACTGTTTTCAAGGTGTCTGGGAGATTGCTATTTATTATGCTGTAAAGTCTCTGGGTACCCAGTATTACATTTACCCATCTTCATCTGCATTCATCTACTGATTTTTTAATTTTTTTTCTTTTTTGCAAATGGCAAACTGTCTGTGTAGGTCCACTCCCCTGAAGGTAGGGCACAAAATAAGAACCATGCCACTATCTGCTTTTGAGTGGTCATGTACTGCCTGCCTGCAGTGGGCCTCTCTGCTGAAGTGCATGATTAGCCAAATCTTCCCAGATTATGCTGCACATTGCTTTGTTTCCAGAAGCAGTGTGCAGCCCAGCAGTCCTGGGGAGGAACTGGCAGAAAACAAACAGCACTGTTTTCTCTTCAGCACGTGGCTTAAAAATACGGATATAAAAAAATCAGGATTGGGCAATTAAGATTTATTGCAATTACTTTGATAAAAATTGACTCTAGTAGTTAGCTTAACTTTAAATTGATTCTTGTGAACCTGATGTGCTCTGTACTTCTGGTTTTTATATCACTGTAAATCATTAGGCATGAGGTCTCAACAATCAAACCTTGTTGTGATGTGGGAGCCATCATACTGGAATTATGAACTGTAGTCCCTAAAACAGCTAATAAGAAGCAGTTTTCATCGAGGTAAATGTGGGGTCAAGTCCTTAAATAGAATAGACTGGCATAACTTGATTGAGTTTAAAAGTTGTATACTAAATGCTCACACAATTCCTCTTTTGATGAACCAGAGTGTGGACCTCTGTTAAAGGAGGGCACAGCTTTGTGGGAAGTGGGACCATGAACAATTCAATGGATGACATGTGCTTATAACTTTTTAATTTCCCCCATCGGCTTTTTGCTGAATGCAAATTTGGAGGCAGGTTGTTGCATTATGCATTTAGCTTTCAGAGCAGAAGCTGTATGTCTGTGAAATGATTTTGAAAATGTACCTTGAGGAGAGAGATGTATGCTTGAAGGTGGAAGGTCTTTGTTGGTGTAGTGTAGCTGATGTTGATGGATTGTATGTATAACCATTTGTTGAATTGTATTAACCTAGATCTTCCATGCTTAACAAAAGCATTGATAGGTGTGTATAGAACTGTGATTCAAAACTACCCTTCAGAGGAATAGAATTAGGGATGTTTTCATAAAAAAAAAAATCACCCTATCAAATTGTCTGCAACGTGTAATTATGATTATGAAATTGAGGTTAAATGTATCTCCCCTTTATTGTTCCACTGACTGCTCAAGATTTTGCTCCATCCAAATACCGTTACTACTTTAATAAACTAGATTTTACTCATTTCTCGCAAATTTGAAATACTATATTGCTACTGACGTTTGAACAGAATAGAGAATCTAACTGGTAAATCACTTTTCACTCGCATTGCTATGGATATCGTTTCTCTTGTTTTAGATTTTAATGAGAACATTTACTTGGAAAAATTGTGCTCATTACAGGATTTCTGAAAGTATTTCTGAGACTTTTATATAACTGAGGCACCCTAAATTGCAAGAACTACCAGATAAATCATGTATTTTGCAGAGAACCTTAGGATTTTACAAGCTGTGTGAAGCTCATTTTAAACTATATTGTAATATCAAGTAAATATGGATGTATTTTTAATGGCAGAGGTAATTCTGTGTTGTGAGGGACACTCATGCCTCCTAGGTGGAGTCCTCTGATGTTGAAGGGATCGCCATGACGTTTTTAATGCCAGTAAAGTGTGATTATTTGTTCTCTCTTTTTCATTTAATGAAGGTGCTTATTCCAGCCCCAGGTTGCAGTCTTAACATTGTTGTACACTCTTTACCCCTTTTTAACTTTTCCATTAGAGAATAGATGCATCTATCAGATCTGCTGCCGCTGCTACTTCACTGTATTTTCACTTTATTTATAGACTTAACTGCAGTATGTATTTAAATGTGAACAAGCAGAACAGTCAAAAATGTAGGTTTTTGACAAAACAAGTCTCCCATAATCCTACCATCTCAAGTTAGCAGGACCTTTCAGTTTCCTTGCTTGTGGTAAGCAAAGTCCTTTGGCTTTTGGTTCAGTGTCAAAAGCAGTGATATTTTCGTGCTCCATGTCCCTGTCCACAAGAAGTTTGGTTCTTCTGTCCCTTCTGTACCAAACTGGTTGCTGCCATCAGAGAATAGCTTGAAGAGCTTGAGCAGATGAGCTTGGCTGAAGAAGTGCAAGAGGGCTCTTCAGCATACAGCTCTCTTCTGAAACTGTTCAAGTTTCTTCTTCTCCCCATCTCAGCACAAACAAACTGAATGCTTAATCCTAGGAAGAAAAGATTTTCAGAGCTATAAAAACAGACCGTGGGCAGCTCTGATACTGCAGACTGTCTGTACAACATAAAATGTTTTAGAGAGGGAGCCAAATTACAGTATGTGTCCAGGCAGGAGGAATGAAGAAAGGTAACTCGATGCACTTCATGCAGTTTAATTGCACAGTAATGTAACGTTAAAGTAAAATGGGAAATGATTTCAGGAAAGGAATGCGAAAAATACAGGTTTAATGATGACCAGCTACATGTTGCTGACATACTGTTTTTCTGTTGCAAAGCAGCTTTTAAGTGAAAAATGTGCTCCTCTCCACTCAGCTGAACCAGTGGAATTTTCTTCCCTGTTAACTCCTCGAATTTCTGCAGCTCATTATCTATCTGCTGATATCAGGATGCAATTAACTATATGATGATTTCTCTTGCACTTTGAGTTAGAAAGCAGCACACTGCAAGCAGTACTATTAAAATAAGACTGTGTTGTACTCAAATGGCCAATTATGTTTTTTGGAATAGAATGCTGAAGAGCTTAGTATATGCCAAAATGTTTTCTGTGTACCTGAAATGTAAGCCCATTTCAGAGCGAGTCCAGCACTGGAAATAAGACATTTGCATTTTTCAATTGTGCTGTTATTCACACAGTTAATCTGGGATTATATTGGTAGTCACATAAAGCTGACACATAATTAAGATATTAGGTAAATGTCTCAAATTGGCAGATACCTTCTTGTAGCATCAAGGATTTGCTGGTAGTTGTTCATGAGCTTGGTTCTCCTGAGTTTTCTGAGCAATGGAGGAAATGGAAAATGGAAAGAAACACTGACAGTTACTGTCAATGTGTGTTGTTAGTGCTGAAGATTTCAGATGTGGTTCTTGTAATCTAATGTGATCTAACTTGTACTTACTGTCAGAAGGCCTCAAAGTTAATTTCCTCACCAATCTGAGCGGAATGCACTGGCAAGGTCTGCTTCTTGGTATATTTTATATCAAAGGAGACATAAGGGGTTTTTTTGGTTATTCTTTATCATGGAGAGAATTCCCAGCTATCCCTTGTGTTTTAATGCAGTACAGAGCAGAAAAGGGGAAAGAAAGAATTCCACAGTAGTTTTGCACAGTTTTGCACAGATCTACCTGCACGTGACAAAATGTGCAGACTTGCTGGTCATCAGGATGCTTACATTATTTCCAGTAACAGCATATACACAATTTATACTTTATGTGGGTTATAATAGTCTGAATGTTAATAGTTTATTGAATAAGTACTCCAACAAGGAATTTGTGAGCTTTTTAACATGCATCTAAATCTTACCAAATGATGATAGTCTTAAATTTCATGTCATTACAGAAAGGAAATTGTGTATTACACTTTTGCTTCTGGTTTGTCAATTCCACTAAATTTGTATTTCTTAGGTATTAATGTTTTGAAATACAGTGTCTGTACAATACCCAAGAGAATAATATTTCTTTAATAACTAAAATATGATGAATCTTTTCTCTTACAGAAGTTTTGATGTTGGGCTACATCGCTTTCTGGTCAGGTAAGCTAATACTTATTTTGAATTGCAATTCCATATTGTCACGATTTAACCTCAGCTGGCAGCCAAGCACCACAGAGCCACATGCTCACTACACCTGTAGTAGGATGGGGAGAGAATTGGAAGGATAAAACTGAGAGAAGTCATGGGTTGAGATAATGGCAGTTTAATAGGTAATGCAAAAGCTTCACATGCAAGCAAAACAATGCAAGGAATTCATTCACTGCTTCCCATGGGCAGTCAGGTGTTCAGCTGTTTCCAGGAAAGAAGGGCTCCATCATGTGTAAGAGTGATGTGAGAAGACAAACATCATGACTCTGGACATCCCTCTGCTGCTTTCTTCTTCCCTCAGCTTTAAACGCTGAGCATGACACCACAGGAAGTGATTAAAACAGGGCATTTCGACCAGAAAAAGGAGGTAAATAAATTTGAGTGATACACTGAGGTTTTGCTGTTTGGAATTTTTTTGCAGGGGCAAAATCACAGGTGTTCGCCAATACTGTGTTTGCCTTCATTTTTAATAAAATACCTATTATTATCTACTGATCTTTGCAGAGAATTGTAATGTGTGCCATGAAAGGTTAATTTTGCCATGGTCTTTGGGCACTTAGAGAATTAATTAGACTAAAATGTTGAAATACTTATCAGTGAAGAACTCTACCTTGGAAGAATGAACCCAGTGTGTATAAGCCAGAGTATGCTGCTCGAGTCCCACCGTAAGAATTAAGTGGTGTTAGGTGTTCCTTGATTTGGCCTTCCTACTGAACTCATTATTTTAGGCTACTTTGTCATATTTCCTGGGTAAAGATTCTGTTAAGCATTTACACATGAGTCTTTTGGCCTTAATGCAGTGGTTTTGGCACCAATTCGCAGACTCCCAGAGCTCTTAACAGGTTGATTACTCCTGATTACTTTTTGTTCCTCTGGTCACTCACTTGAAGCATGTATTTTCTAATGTTTTCAGAACCCTGCTACTTGCTCTTGACTGTAGCTAGTAAAAGAAGCATACAGCTCTAGACAGAATCATAAATGCCTAAGGAACATTTCCCTGCCTTAGGCTCAGCATCACTTGTAAGTGTTCTCTTCACTTTGTCCTCTGCTTCTCTAGATTATTAGTACCATGGCTAAATCCAGGAAGAAATGAAACTGTTTGTGCAAGGTCTGGGTGCTAATTGGACAATAATACAAAGGGTATAAAAAGTATAAAAGATGTGAGATCACACAAAACCTATGTCACAGGGAAAATCAGGTTTGCTTTCAGGTTGCACAGGTAAACTCCTTGATATGTCATAACATTTGAGCAGTATACTGTGTAGCATTTGGGTTATTTTGTGTATTTCTTTGCATGGAACATGACAAGTTTTAACAGACAGCTCTCTTCATTAAAGCTATAAATATTTCTGAATATGTTTGTATTTCAGTGTGGTTTAGAGTTTTTAGACAACTGAATATATATAAGTTCTAGTATCAATTCTACAAAATTCATTGCGTCTACATTGTGACCAGCAGATTTTTTTTTAAATAATCATATAAGAAATTGAAATAATCTTACTAAGAAATGGTTTAAAAATATACTACTGTTGTAAAGGAAATACAGTGCACAAGAAGGTTTCCCGGGAATGCACACAACTACTTAACCAAGAGCAGAATCATGGTAAGCATTGATGTACTAAGTTTGAGTCCCTGGTATTGCTTCTGCTATAAAATGTTTTCATTTGCTTTATAAAAAGAACGTAATAAGATATTATTCTCTCATGTGGCATCATTGTACATCCTGTGGGGACACAGTATTTGAGTTATCTGCTCATGTGATCCCAGACTGCAAATAGCCATGGAATTCAAATAAGTTGAATGTCATCTTTGACTAATGTATCATTTTTTCAAAGCCAGATGTATCCTATGCAGTGTGGTGTTCTAACCTTAGCTTTACTATTTCATTTTTAGTCTATTACCTGCCTCTGTTAACTACTTAGGGAAACATCGTCTGCTTTCTCTGTAACTGTACTGCTGAGGAGAAAATCTTTTTCCCTTCTTTTGTAGCAGAATGAGTTTTGCTTGTGTATCCTTAACTAAAAAAAAATGTTTGTTTTAGTAGATGGTTTTGGACTAGGAGACAGAAGACTTGGTGTTAATCTCTGCTGTTGATTTGCCTTGTGAATTTTAGAAACTTATTACCTTTTTTTGGGCCTATTTAGATAGTCTAAGCTCCTGAGAACTTGCAGATCATCTCCTTCTATGTCCATAAAGTATCTGTCATAAATAGTCCTCTTCACAGTTTCAGTTTCCATTTGAAATACAAACAGTGGGGAGGGAAAAGCCTGAACCCCCCAAAAATCAAACAAATCTGAGTTTCAGGAAGTGTTGAAATCTATGAATTGGAATTTGAAATGCTCAAGAGATATTATATTTTTTTAAATATAACAACACTACCCCACCATGGAAGAGGAAACTTACTATGGCACTTTCAAAGATAAAATATGGGGCCAACAAAACTAAAAATAGTCTCTGCCAAAAGGACAATCTACCTAATTAAATGCTGACTGATAGAACTAGGACTGTGCTGGCCTGGCATAAACAATCAGTGGCTTCCCCAAGTGAAGCATGACACAAAGTATCACAACAGAGAGATTTACAACTGCACTTTTTTTTTCTTTGTTCTTAGCAAAAAAATAAATAGAAAATAATTTCTGTCAAGCTGTCTGTGTCTTGAACTGTGGTTCTGATACTGCTTTTAAGATGGCTCATAAAAGCAGAAAAATCCCATATTTTTACATGTGTAATTGATAGGTCATACTGTAATGGATGATAATGTGTTGTTTACTGACTTGGGCTGAACTGGATTCTGGGACTAGATTTCTAATCACTGCACTTGATTGCAGAAATCAGATGGCATCATGGGACTATTATTTGTGAAAGTAAAGTGCAACTAAATATGTGGGGAGTCTGGGTTTTGAAAATTTGTTAGCTACACTATCATGTTTGAAGCAGGGATTCTGGGAATTCATAGGGGAAAGATTAGGACTTCTGTGATGAAACCTGGGGTTTGATAGTACACATGAAAAATATACTACTGTACTTGGTAATTTACCCACTGTGTTCACACAAGTATATAAAAGAAACTATTCGTTACTGCTTCTATGATCAGCAAAATTATTAATCATGTATTTAAATCACGTAAGCGCTATACAAACATGGTAATATTTTTCCAATATGACTTCAGGAAAAACAACCCTTTTTCTCCTTAATCTGACCATTCTCAGAATGGGCCAATGGGTGTATTTTCAGAGTTTAAAATACATAGAAATAAGCTTTGGGCTAGCAGTTTAGAGGGGAAAGAGCAGGAGAGGCTGCCTGTTGCTCTTTGCTCACTGCAGCTATTTTATCCAAGCTGAGAACAGGGCATTGGGTGAATTAAAACAGTGAACTTGTGAGAATATTTACTGTCCTAATGCCAAACAGTGCTTCCTTTAGGGCAGCACTGATGAGGGCAGTGGGGAAGAATGACAGTTCCTGCAGGCAAGATTCTTTTGAAAAATCTCTACACTTTCAGCACTGCTGTGCCTTTGAAAAAGTGTGAATCATACTCATTTCAGTACAGATCTGGCTTTGAAGAGAGCTGCAGGACCACGCACCCCCAGTGTCTCCCAGAGGTGTCCATCTGTTAGCAGCGCTCTCATCTCACCCCATGGTTTGCAATTACTTTAGTTTATTTAGGTTATTTAAGGTTTAGCTTATTCTCTGGTGCAAAGGTTTTCCGAATACAAAACTTGAAAATCACTCCCTTTTTGAGTTTTCTCAGGTGAAGCATGGCATAGTTTAGTTCTAGGATCAAAATCTGCTATGTGTTGTCACACCTCTTGATTTTTAGTTAGGAAAAGGGCACCTCTGTGTAAGAGCAGAATGGTTGCATGGCGAAGGAAGGATTATGGTTCTAACAATTGGTATAAGTATTTGGAGAGACACATCTGCTTTGGAAGGTGCTAGCTGTAAAGTCTCGCAAGGATGCATTCTTTCTTCTCTGCTTTGTCACGAAGTTTGGCTTTTCGATTCACCCTGTGTCTTGGTCACCTAGTAATCCACGGTGCATGAATGTCATAGAATCAAACAGTAGTTTTGGTTCTAAGGGCCCATTAAAGATCAGCTGGTCTGCCCTACCCTGGAATGAGCAGGATCTTCTTCATCTTGGTTGGGTTGCTCAGGGCTCTGTCCAACCTGACCTTGAATGTTGGCATCTGCTGCCTCTCTGGACAACTTGTTCCAGTGTTTTATCAGCCTTATATCTGTTTGAATCTACAGATGTAATCTTTAGTTTAAAACTATTCCGCCTTGTTGAATTGCAGCAGGCCCTATTGAGCAGTCCCCATCTGTCTTGTAAGGCCTCCTTTAAGTATTGAAAGGTCATAATAATAAGGTCTCCCATGAAGCCTTCTCTTCTCTAGGCTGAACAGTTCCAACTCTCACAACAGCATGTGCCTGAACTATCCTCTGGAGCTAATCAAAATGTTTCCTTAAGAGCAGAAGTCTGAGTGTGGTTCTGGGGGTCATTCACACTGATAGGCTGCTTGTTTCCAATAGGGAGCATGGATACAAGTGCACCAACTTTGTCTTTCTGTGCTCTATGCAGACACCTAGTAGTTTCTTAGTAGCTTTGAGACTTCTCTTTTTAGGCTGTTCTTTTAGTCAGCGTGTAAGCTCAGTCTTTTGCTGATTACGACCATACTAAATGGCTTCACTTTCCTTCAGACATCTTGAGACAAAATGGGTGCTCTAAGGAGCAATTTCTGCATTGTGTGAATTTGGCTGGTCTGTTCCAAATGAGGTTAATCCTGACCAGTATTGCCAAAGCTCTATACTACTCTACCTGGGAGTCCTGGATGATTGGTTGGCAAAGATACGTTTGACTTTTATATGTTGCCTATCTGTCTATGGGACACTGAGTAAACAATACTCTTTTCTGTAGAATAACCTGTGTTATGTCTATGACAGTTTTATGTCTCTGTATC